ATTTTAAATAAATAAGTGATGTTCTTTTTATATAATTCTATTTATTAAGAATCCTGAAATAAATCATGGCTTTCACAGAAATATTAAGCAGCACAACTTTTTAACACTGATAATAATAAGAAATGTTTCTCAAGACATTCAGCTTTGTATCACAGGAATAAATTACATTTTAAAATAATATAGTAAAATAAATAGTAAATAGTTATTTTAGATTATAATATTTCAAAATAATTCTGTTTTTTATCACAACTAAAAAAAACAATAAACATTTGAAACACACTGGGTTTTAATCTCACTTAATCTCTCTGAATGGTGTACCTTAGAAATAGTGTTAAGATAGCCTTTGACATTCTCCAAGACGTCAGTGAGTTCTGTGGGGCTGCGCATCACAGTCTCTGAAGTGTTTGTACTGCTCAGGAACATGCAAACATTCCCTGCCCTGCATAGCAATTGATATTAATTAAGCTAAATATAAAATGTCAAAAATATCATTACAATAACATTACACTCCAACCGGTGCTCACAGAATTAGTACAGTGATGAGAAATGTGGCCAAGTAAAAGCTTCTTCGCTTGCAGTGGATGTTCGTAGTTTGCTTCTGCTGCATGCGGCCCCCGCAGTTACCACAGCAACGACAGCAGGCAAAGATTAGGCCAATTAGAGGCATCAGGACAATGTAGAGGATCCCAATAGCCACGCAGACCAGGAAACCTATCTCATATTTCAAAACCTGGTCAAAAGTGAAAGAGGATAGACAGGTTGGTTGCTGTGGGTATAGCTAAATTAAGCAGTAAAGATGAGGTAGATTAAAAAAAAATAATAATAATTCTTGATGACTTTATATAGGAGGTGTACTTATACGTGTCCATGTGCTCTGCTCAACTGTGTATCCAGAACATGTCTGACGCTGTGTAATCAGATCAGCCAATCGAAACTGGCAAATAGTCAATGTTTATACAACAAAATATTGGTGTTGGCATGATTCACTTATGGTAAAAAAAATAAAATCCTGAGAAACCTGTCCTAGAGCACACACACACGTGTCAATTAATATCTGTCTGTATTAAAATCATATTGCAAAAATATGACCAAGGTGCAATTTATTATCAAACCATTAATTTACATGCAGGTGTGACATACCTCTTTAACCCTCTCCATGCTGAAATTCTTATCGTTTATCATTCTAATCAGCAGATCTACAGGAAAAACATACCAAGACATTGTACATATTCTTTTTAATATTCATTTACACAACATAAAATAACATTATAACCAGTGTCACATCATTCTGCTAGTGCTAAAAAAGTCTCAGAGGTAAACTGTGATGAAGTGGCCAGGGTCAAAGCTATAACAACTCTCTATTGTATAATGATTTTTCATACTTTATTTTTTCTAAAATAGCCATTTATATCAGCAAGTAGGTATTATAGCAAAAGAGCCAATTAGAAACGTAGACTATACACAATACTCTATTGATGGGTGATGATGAATAGAATTTCATCATTGTAACCTGAACAATTTCATGAGGTTTCTATGGAGTAATATCTCTGTAAAGTAATGCTTCATTCTATTGTTAGATTAAATAATAATTGTCTGCAGGAAGAGATGTATAAACATAATAGTTCATGTTTGGTCCAATAATTATACATTGTTAACATTTTATGAACAGCTTTGAAATTTATGAGATCATGCAATATGAGAAGTAGGCTAATTTTTTTTTTAGCATACAATGAATTGGCAGGTAATAATTAACTTAAAAGTTTGCCTTTCCATTTGTGATGCTGACTGCAACTATACAGGCTGCTTGAAGAGTACAGCAATAAACATATTTTTGTGGTAAACAAAGCTCTTGGAATGAGGAGGGGAGATGATTCAAATCTCATGGACATTTGCATGGTTATTTGCACAGTGGTTTTGCTTCTGACAATTAACTGAGTACATTTATCCCAACTGAATAAGCACCATCTAACCATGTGCACAACAAGCCCAGCCTAATAACATCCTCTAATGAGTCTAATACAGCCATTACAGTGTCAGATCAAGTTAGATTCATCTGTGCCACATAACATGTTGTTTGCGTAGATAAAACCATTTGTAACCAAACTGCTGATGGCAAATTACTTAATACTAAAAGAACATGTTTGTACTGAATACGACCTTGTCAGACACAGAGATCAAAACTACATCACATTAACTCACCTTTAGGGAATGGATTGGGCTGGACAGAGCCCAGGAATGAATGTACAATTGGAGACATAAAGGCACTATTGAAGGTCAGCTTGGTTGGTATTTCATATGGAGTTTGTAGCTCTGTTCTGTTGGTCTCGATAGGACAGGACGGTTGTCCGCTTACAAATGTCCAGAGAAACAGCGGCAAAATGCCACTCCAAAAAACTCCAACTTTCATTCTGGACCTCATGTTCATTAGTCGGTGGGTTGTTAGGTCATGTCTCGATTCTTATGAGCATCAAACGTCACCCATGGCATAATAAATGTCAATAATTAGTCTAATCTTCTTTAGAACATACAGTCACCGTATGACTATTGTTTTATAATTACAGCAATTATTGTGATAATTAGAGAAAGAGGAACTGTAGGCTACTTACGTCCTAAAACGCATCTTCCTGACTAAAATATAAAAACAAAAACACTGTCAGGAATGAAAAACGCTCTGAAAGCTACAAAAAATATTTTTAGATAAATAAAATCATCTTGCAATTCTATTATTGTACAATTTCTTACATATTAACACAGACTGAAGCAAAACTCGATCTTCTTGACAGTGTGTCAGACCAATTTAAATAAACAGGTTGGATTGACAAACATCCGCGTTAAGCAGATACTGTCCTGAACTGTTTACCTAAAACAGTAAGTAACCTGAGAACTAACTACGAAAAGGCGAAGCTAGAAAGACAGCGCTTTTACCGCTCAGGGCAAAGTCATAAACAACACTACAATAGTAGCTACCTGTTTTATATTTAAAGTCCTCTAGCTATTGTTGAGCGTGTTCCTCTTAGTTCAATTCAAGTGAGTCTAAAATCCTCTCATAGATCCGATGTCTTTATCCCTCTGAGAGAAACCTGATGTCAACATTGAAGTTTAGCTGCACTGAGTGAAGCAATGAAAGAGCGAATTTGCACTCTTTGAAAGAATTAAAGACTAGGACAAACTGAAATGGGAGGGAGAGAAAGAGGGAGGGAGGCTCTGAGTTTATAAAGACTGGTCAGTTTTCAGAAAGGAATCTATTTAAAACTGAGGGTGACCGCATTTTTCTATTGCTGTTGTGTCTAAAAATATATTTAAATTAGTGCTGTCCAACGATTAATCGCATCCAAAATAAAAGTTTTTGTTTACATATGCGTACACTTTGTATATTTATTATGTATATATAAATATACATACATAGTATATATTTTGAAAATTATGTACATTTACATGTATATCTATATTCATATAATTAATATTATATATAGATATATTTAATATATAAACATGAAATTTGTATTTATATATACATAATAAATATATACAGTACATACACATATATTATGTAAACAAAAACTTTTAAATTAATGTTGTTTTCAGTTTACATAAAACAATTATCAAAGAACATTGTATAAAATTACTATTAATGACAATGAACATTGGTCAATTACAAAACAAATCAATGACAAAATTACAATAACAAAACAAAAAAAACAATGTCCCAGATGACAAAAAAGATGTATATTAAAGAAATTCATTTAAAACACATTTGATTTTATATATCATCAATTGATTAAATTATAGGCCTACATTTTTATAAAAAAATAAAAGAAAGAGAAAGAAAGAAAGAAAGAAAGAAAGAAAAAGAAATAAAGAAAGAGAGAGAGAGAGAAAGAAATCCCCTATCTTTTATGGTTTACAAAAGAAAGAGGTTTGGAACGACATGAGAATGAGTAAATTAACAGATTTTTCATATTTGTGTGAACTAACAATTCAAGAATATCCAATGACTTTTGATTTATTAATTGAAAACATTAGTGGGTGCATTTAAATTATTTTTGGTTAGAATTGCATTTATTAATGCCGTAATAGATCTGAACAAAGTGAGTGTCACATCTTTTACCCAAAAACATTTAACGGCAGATGAATAAGCACATGTGGATAAGTTGGATTTAAAACTAATAATATTGCTAAGAATTCCAAATATTTAATACCAATGTTCCTGCTTTAACTTATTCAAAGAACAAAAACAATTGTCATGGGACATTTTAAATAGTTTCCTTATTGTTCCCGTTAACTGCCTTAGCAATTTAAGTTCTGTTAAAAAGTAGGATATGCATGCTTCCTGGTGGCCTTCGATTGATTTATCACTTACAAACGACCAGGTTAGCAAACACAGTACTAACCGTAAAGTACAACAAAAACACTTCCAGATCTGGATCTGTTTGCAGATCTACCTGGAAATATGAAGTGTCAGTAACACTCTAGTTTTGACTATTAAGAGTTGTTCACATTTCTTATCAGAAACCCAGTGTTGAGGAAGCCTCTCATAGTTTTTAATGTACTGTTGATGTGTATATTTCAACCACATACCAGGCATGATAGCTTGTGAAAATGTTTTATTGGTACCATATATCAACTGTCAATGGCAGACACGAGGCAAAAATATATCCGTAAAACAACCACAAACAAAGGTGCTCTGAAAACACAGAAAAGAGCACACCTGCTTTATGGCCGATTTGAGAAATTAACCAGAAACAACACTGTATTTCACAAGTGACATTGAAGAAAAATGAATTTTGGATTTCTAATGCCTTAGAATGGTTATATTTAACCATAGTTTAGGTCTTAGACCATTTTTATAAGTCAATGGAAGCCCTACAATGGAGTGCCCTCTGGTGTTTTAAAACCTAATACAATGTAACCTCAAAGGGACTTCTTGGAATTAGGATTATGCTTAATTATCCAAATTTTAATAAGAATTCTTAAGGATTCATTCAAGGACTAATATATCATCTTAGGTTGAGGGAAAAAAAAACAAGTGAAAATGTACAAAGGCAACATCAAATACACAGCAACATGTATCGTCTCGATATAATGCAATGGCAAAGACTTTAAAAAAATAAATACATTGTACATTGACTTAAAAACTATAATCTACCTTCTCGTGTAAAAGGTAGTTGTACCTTTAATGCATCTAGAAACAATTTGAAATGAGAGGTTCAGTTTTACTTGACATATGAAGGGGTGAAGGGCACAAGGGTCCTAAGAAGAGTAAATAGAATTACACTTATACAGAACTTGGCTACAATCTTAAATATACAATCACAAATACACAAACAAAATGATAAAAAAACAAAAATATTATATAAATGTGTTGATTAAAGGATCTTGCTCCTTGGTCTGTAGCATCGGGTAAAAAAAACAATAACTGGCTTACTAATTTGATATTTTCCCTAGACTTTCAAAGCAAACTAATAATCAGTGTGAACGACAGGTATTGAGCTCAGCCTGTTCTTTTCAATAGGCTAAAAATCTCCAGGAAACAAAATGTTTATAGCTACGGTCTCGGGACAAAATGTGTCACCAGCCGTTGTACTAACAGTGTAGGATTTAGATCCTGCGAACAATGAGACTGTTACAGCTGCGATAGCTAATGTCTGACACATGCAGTTCCCAGACATACATGCTATGATCATGTAATCTCATTTTCAAAGACGATTAAAACAGAAACAAAGACAGATAGGTGTAAAGCTTAGAGCAAATTAGCATCTACTTACAATAATATTGATAACAATAACAATACAAAATTTGTTATTTTACATCGAGATTGACAGCGTTTTCCAGTTAAAGATCATCAATTTTTTGTTTTAATAAGAACAAAATTCATCAATCCTTTTTTAAGAAAAATAGATCCAAAATACAGTGACAAGAGTGCAAAGGATATTTAGAGTTTTTGTTTGCTTGCTTATTTTTTCACTTTAGAAATCGTTATAAAAAAATAAAAAAGGACAAGGAACTAAACAGAATGCAAACAATTTAAAAAAACCAACAAAAAAACCCCCGAACACTTCTTTTGAGTCTGGCGTAATGGTCAGGCAAGCTCTCAGTGACCATTTCGGGCATGACCAAACTCAAGAACATCGATGCTTTACACTTTATTTAGTTTTACTTAAAGGACTTTACGTAGTGGTTCTCAACTCCGGTCCTCAAGCTCCGGAACTGTACAGGTTTTTGTTCCAACCAGGTCCTACAAAACAAATCATTGAGTTTTTAAAAATGGAGCTTTGGGTTTGAATCTGAGGTGCACACAATGGTCATATCACTAAACGGTCAGATAAAAAGTGATCCTTTCCTGTCAAGTGAGCACAACAGAAATGGCCATGCGTGTCAAAGCACAGCACGCACAGAGAGACCCGAGGTTGGAACAATAACCCACAGCCTGATCGCTAAGCCTGATCTAGACATGTTGGAAAACGACTCTCAAAGAAACAAAAGAATCAACAAAACGGAATGTCTGACGGCGACAGAGGAAGAGGAGGGCCAATTTCACGTGTGGCCAATTGAGGACTTGTCAAAGCAGAAGTCTAGGACCGGGTCTTGCGAGTGAGGGGTCCTCGAGCCTTTCGCTAGCCCCTAACACTTCTACTGCGATGACTGTGAGGTGGGGTTGTCATTTTTGCTCTCCTGGCTGGAAGGAGCTTTGCTGTTCCAGGGGCTGTTGGTGCCCAGGGCGGGGGAACTGTTGAAACTGTCCTCGTCGTCGATGCCATTGGCCGCATCAAACTGTGTGTTCTCCAGCCGTGTGATGAGCCGCTCATCCTCGTCCCCGAACTCCCCTCCCATCAGAGTGGGCTCTCCCACCATCATCACATCCTGCAGGGGACAGGAAGGGACGCAAACATTATCCCCGCAACCCGGGGGTGCTCCGTAGGGGGACGCGGTGGCTTTCTACACCACATTGAACTGCAGATGGCACTGAGGAACTACACCTCCACTATTCTGCCCACTACAAGCCCAAATCAGCACGGGAACTTAAACCAGCAGTGCTGTATGTGAAAAGGCTACGTTCACCATGCTGAACACTAAATAGCTCTGCCATGGTGGGCATCCCGGATCCTTGAGTGCTGCATGGGTTCATTCCACCTCGGGTCTCTAGTGTTGGCTGCGTCTCTGGAGCTCAAAACACCCAACAGACTGACAAAAAGCACAAAAAACCCACAGACCTGCGGCCCTAAAGGACCAGGGACTGCCCAGCATTGGATCATGTCCACTTGTCTCTATGTTGGGTCTGTCTTCCTAATATGAGGCATAACTTGAATACAAGCATTGGTCCACCCTCCTCCCGCTAACCCGTCTCCCATAGCTCAAAATGGACATCAAAATGAGATGCTTACAGGTACCTGGCTGGAGAGCGCAAAACTGCTGGCTGGACTTTTCTTTTTACTGTTGCTGTTGTTGTTGTTGTTGCCCCCTCCGGAACTCATCGTGCTGCCGCCGGACATTTTTCGCTTCCTTCGCTTGTTGGGGGCTTGTCTTGCTGGCTCGGCTGGACAAAGAGCAAAAGGAGATATCTGAGGCTCGGGTGGGACACTGCTGGATGTTTGATTTTGAGATGAAAGTCGCCCCATTCTCACCTGGTGGGGCCACCATCCGCTGCCATTTCTGAAACAGACAGGTTTTGAGGCAGTCTCGTGGGCTGAGACTGTACGTCTTGTGTCTGGACATCAGCTCCTGCATGGGCTCCAGGATTACACAAAGCTGTGGGAGAGAAAAAAACCTGTTAGCAATGTTTTTTAATTCACATCGACCGTTCTGTAGACTGATGGAAATGAACTTACTCGGAGGTAGTTCAGCGTAGAGTTAGATAAGCCACATCTTGTGATGTTTTTTGATAGCTGGTCAAGCATTTGGGGGTCTTGGGCCTGTTGAGGAAGAAATTTAGTAAATCAACAAAAATTGTGTGCAGACATGGTTTTTGCCCATGATTTACCAAAGACAAGCACAAGTTATGCTAAAGACATCTATTGAAACTACAAGGTGGGTCATTTTTTTAACAAAACTTGACTTAAAAAAATAAAAAATAAAGCAAACACAGTTAAAAGGTAGGGAATCTTTTCTTAAAATGTCTTTACAATTATTAAGTAAAACTAAACTTAATATGCTTAATATTTATATTAATAATATATTATATTTGCTTAATATTTTTGTGGAAACCATGATACCTTTTTTTACCAGGATTTCTTGATGAATTGAAACAGAATTTATGTGAACCATAAATCATTTATAGCATTCTGAATGTGTTTACTGTTACTTTTGATCAATTGAATGTGTCCTTGGTAAATAAAAGTAATCATTTCTTTAAAAAAAAAAAACATCCTGACCCCAGACTTTTAAACAGTTGTGTAAATATATAATTGAGTAGGGGGTCTAGGACAAATCCATAAGGATTGTCAATACTGAAAGTACTGAAATGATGTGAATAAATGCTGTAGCAACAAAGGATTGAAAACAGTACAAATAAATATCCTAAACTCACATGCATTGCCAGGATGCTCCTCGGCACGACCTCTCTGTGCTGTCTGATGCTGAAGTGCCACGTCTTTATACGCATCATGTCATCAAACATAAACTCCAGGTACAGTCTGCCCTCCACACACACCTGAGGAGATGAAAGGACTTCTCAGTAACATCAAAAAAAGGTGGAAGTGGCCTGCTTTAAACTCAATTGTTATGTTCTTATTGCAGAGCTTATTTAATGGAAGTACTCCGAATTCCATTTAAGATCACAACAAGAGTTAATGTGCGCCTTCTCTGACACCACGTTCACTTTGAAAAGGAAATGAACGGGCAACACATGAAGGCTATTTTTAGGATTTATTTCTGATAATAAACTTTGCATAAAGTGTGGTGTGGTGTACAACGGTGTTCATACCAAAGGATATGCATAGTTAATGTTTTAAAACTGTGGCAATAAACGCAAAGGAAAACGATACCTGTGTGAACATGGGTTTGCCGTTCTGTGTAACCATGGTGCACTGATCGCAGTCCAGGGACACAAAGTTATTGTGGAAAGACTCCTTGGGATGTTTCAGCACATAGAAGAGTTCAGTGGCCCCACCCTCAAAAATACTCCTGAAGTACCGAGGGATCAACGTCCTACCAATAGCTGGAAATAGGATTCGGATACAGTGGGGAAAACCAGAATATGAATGCATGTTCTCATGTCTCCGTCTATATTTGATTATTCAGGGTCAAGTTCAAACACAAACATTAAAATCACTGAAGTGACTTTACAAAACAGGACATTACTATATCGTTTGGGCCCATCTTCCAGACAGAAAGTGATCGTCAGCATTGCATCGTCTTCAAAAAACTCTGTAGTGAACGCATCCCACCACAAATTGTCACAGTCCTGCTGAGAAAGCACAGAAAACACTATTCACCTATAATCTTAATTAAAATAAACTTACATTTGCTAAACAAGCAGCAAGTAAATTCCATGATTTTGCATGATTTGCATGCATGCCAACAAACTACTGTTTCCATTTCAACAAATGAAAATAAGATTTCCGTAGCTCCCTTTTAAAATTTGTGTACCATGAATGTTAATGAATGTGATTTTTTTTTTATACCTCTGACCAATTCTGTAGTCTTTTGTTGAGCTCAAATATTCTGTAGTCTGTTTGATTTCCATACGGTGTGTGCCTCCTGTAACATGATAAGAAATGTTTCTTGAGCAGCAAATCATCATATTTGAATGATTTCTAAAGCATCATGTGACATTGAAGACGAGTAATGGCTGCTGAAAATTCAGCTTTGGTATCTCAGAAATAAAATATATTTAAAAAATATAACAAAACAGTTACTTATATTGTAATAATAGTTCACAGTAAATGGTGAGTATAGGAAACAACTTTCAAAAACATTAAAAGGGATCATATGATGCGATTTCAATTTTGGAGTGTTACAAGCTCTTGGTGCATAAAGAAGACCTGTAAAGTTGCAAAGACTAAAGTCTCAAATCCAAAGAGATATTCTTTATAAAAGTTAAGAGTCAGCCACACCTACCTAAAACGGCTCGTTCTAACACGCCCCCACGTCTACATCACGATGTGGGAAGATTTGCATAACACCGCTTAAATGTTCACGCAAAGAAAGAAGGCGTAACTTTTATTCTCGCTGTAGTATTGTTGCCGCAGCCGCCATGTCGTGAAGGCGCTGTGTGTTTCGTTGTGAAAGCAAAACTACTTCGTTTGGCCTTCCAAAAGAGGACGATATGGCTTCGTCATGCCTGGAGCTGATCTGTGCTGGTTGCTGAGGAAATACAACTTTGCGTTGTGGATCGCCGGATCGATCCACGGCTTTCACCGTGGACGAAGCGGAGTCCAGCCCGAGGTCGTCACATGTAGCTCCTTCGTCGAATCCGCCGGACCGTGCCGTTCTCAAGCCCGCCGCCTCTGCTCACTCTAGGCCGCCGCCGCTCACTCTAGGCCGCTGTGTGTGACGCTGGGTTTGTTTTTCAGACCGATGAGTTTTGTAAAAATCGACGCGTTTCAGAAAGGCGGGGCATAGAGGAGAAACAATAATGTACAGTATGTGGAAAATAATGTGTTTTTTTAACCTTAAACCGCATAAACACATTTCATTACACCAAATACACAAAATAATGTTCTTTTTAGCAACATCATATGACCCCTTTAAAAAAAACTTACTGACCACAAACCTTTGAACAGTAGTGTATGTATGAATTATATAACAATAAATTTCAACTTTTCTCAAGAAAATAACCAAACAATATGAGTGAATAGTATTTCAATAGGCAGAGCAGAGTCTGAAAAGGCTTGTGGTAGTTTATAATATTCAGTGAAACCAAAAGCTTTTTGTTTTAGTACATCCACTTTGTATTACACCCTGTTGTCTGTCTCCTGAAAATAAACTGCTGTAGACACAAATTTCAACGGCCAAGTAAGTACTTACCCTATTCCAGGCTCCATGTAAGAGGGGGGATACATCGGTGTCGGACTGCAATATAAAGAGCATTATTAAGACCTTAAAATTAGCAACTTTCATATTAAATATCTAGTGTATTATCAGTTTACTTTAGATAGGTGCTAGCTAGATGCCAAACAACTACTACTTTAAAACTAGAAAATGGCCACACACACACATATTAGACAAACACATATTATATCTTCTTCACCATGTAAAACAATAATCACAAGTCTCACCCCACATCTCTATCCAGCATTGCGCCTGGGTGAAATGGAGGGAAGGCACTACCGTTAGGGGGCTCCTTTGGGGAGTACAGCTTGAATGACTTGGACGAACAGCCTAGATAATGAGAGAGAACACCATTCAGACATAACAGACTGTACATTCAGATTTAGAGTCCATTCACAGAATATACAGACAGGCCTACAAACACATCCAGTAAAATCCTGATGCATTTAGTGCAACTGTAGGTAAACAAGACGTCTATTTTTGTGCTAACTTCTCCATAACGTCATATTTTTGAATATATTAGGCAGCTTGACTTATTTGTGCCCCCTGTCTAGCCTTGCAATTAGCTTAGTGAAATGTATGCAGATCTAAGACTGATGGAAATGGTACCTTTAATATTTAATATCTCTCTGAAATAATAAATATGATAAATATATATTGTTAAGATTGATAGTTCCCCCCCACACCCTGGTCAGCAAACAACATTATGTGATCACGTGACATTGTGATGATTTCCCTGTAGCTTATGACAGCCCCATCCCCCATCCCATATAAGGGATTCAAGTAACTCCAGTTAGCCCTGCTGTGTAATTCATTTAAACTGAAACAGCAAGCTAAAAGCAACCCAAAAACATGCCTGACAAAGACTAATCTAATGCAATGCACAATTTCAGTCAATTATTATAATGCAACATTATCCGTAAAGTGCACTTCATGATTTGTGTACATTTGTGTCACAATATATAAACGCAATACAATAAAAGTAAAAAAGGAATGGAATTTCTAAAGAATAATTAAATAATTTGAATTAGCGTAACAAACATTTATATTCACTATAGGAATATCCATAACTTTTCACAATATTAGATTTCCCTGATATTTCCAAATTTTGCATGACAGTCAACCAGAAAAACTGGGAAGATGATGCATGGTCACACAGATCTGCCATTCTACTATTCTACACCATCCTGTCAATGTTGTGTCTCTGTGAGTTTTAGAAATCAGCATAGTTCAAATAAATTAAGACATGTCATGCACATTCTTTTTCCAAGTACTCTCTTCACATCAGAGCTGCTTTTTATAGTGTATCTGAGAAACTTAATGCATTAATTAATTCTCAGTCATGTTCTAAGAATTGCACACACTGTTTGATTAAAGTTTACACAGAATTTACCAAAAAAACAACATGCGTTATAACGCTATTTACACACAAAGTAATGATAATAATTTAAAACAATTAAAACTTATGATATTGCAAAGGACTGCATTTAATGCATATTCAAACAGATTAATAGCAACCACTTCTTCATCCTCCTCTCTCTGTTGTTGGGGAAAACATTTGTGCTAAGCTACTACTAAGGTGTAGCCATAACGCTATTTACACACAAAGTTAAAAAAAATCAATTTTAATCCCAAATGATAATAATTTAAAACAATTAAAACTTATGATATTGCAAAGGACTGCATTTAATGCATATTCAAACAGATTAATAGCAACCACTTCTTCATCCTCCTCTCTCTGTTGTTGGGGAAAACATTTGTGCTAAGCTACTACTAAGGTGTAGCCACACTACTTAATACATTTCATAAAAAACAAGTACACTGAACTACTTTTAAAAGACACGTCACTTAATTCAAAACACGTATCGCTGATTTATTTTTAGCAAATGATTCATAGCAAGTCTCGATATTTGTGTACTATAACGACAAACTTGATAGCCTAGCTTAGCCAGGCCTGGCTTGGAACACAGGCGAGGCCCGCGCAGGTTCGCGGATTATCCCAACAGTTTAAACAGCATCACCATGGCGACGCAATTCAACGCATTTATTTTCACGTTTTCTCGCTTTACAACGAAACGTTGCTATGAATTAGCGTTGCACTCAAACTCAAGCGCACCTGCAGGAATCCAAGCTGGAATTCGACGCTCTCTCCCCGGTGCTCCCTGATTATAATCCCGCTCTGTCGGTCGCTGTTGTTAAAGAGACGTGAGTTGAAACATCAGCCCGTTCAAACCATGGTGGTGTGCAAAAAGCAGTTACAAAATGCAGCTTCAGCGCTGGTAGTTGTAGACCGTGTTAAACGGGAACCGGACTCAATGGGGTAACGAGGAAAAGTGCCCGTGCGACCCTTTGTTCCTGCTCATGAACAATAGTAGAGGCCCTTCTTTCTCTCCGTGCAACCCCCCTCAACACTCCCTGCTCTGGTGGAGCATCAACCCTTCGCGGCCCCCTCCAATCAAACCCACCCCTCCCCCAGACACACTCTACTACTGCCTGCACCCTCATCCTGCAAACATGCACTTCACGTCGAAAGCCTATATTGTAAATGTGTCAAAAGAGAAACAAGAAACCACTTTAGAGTTGACAACAGTTAAACTTGAATAAATAAGTAAATAACTAGCACATGACTGGGTGCTTTGTTTACACCACCTACACATCTTTTGAAGACCCTGCTAGTGCTACTCTCTCTAAAATCATTTATTTAAAGTTAGTTTGTAGCACTCAAACTAACAAGTAACTTTGATTGTTAAAAAAGTAAAGAAGAATGCATAAAAACATCTGAAACTTTGCAAGTTAAAAATTGTATATGTATATAATATGCAATAAAAAAAGAAAACACAAAAAAATTAGAATGTAGCTATATTTAAATATTTTATATATTTATAAAATATACAAGAAACATGAAACATACATTTTATAATATACATGATATACAATTAGTATATTTAAATCTGTCTTATATTTATATTTTTGAATTTGTCCATGTTCATTTCATTAATGTCACAACTGAAGTCATTTGGATCTTTCAGAAAAATTGAGAGCTGTGAATCTGTCACAAAACCTAATTGCCAGAATTTATGAGGTTTAACTGATTTGCTACAATAAAATATTACAACCAAAAATTGACTGTGAAATCACTACAGGCTTCATCTTCTCCTGCAACAGCAAATTACTGTAAAACTACAAAATAACGAGCTCATGCTGCGATGTGGGACAGTGGAAACACCCATAAGCCCTTGTGTTTGAATAATTATGTATGCTCAGACAAGGAATTGGAGACTTACAGAATGCATAGAAAACTTATTTAGAATTAATAGATGTTTAAGGTGTGTGTGTGTGCACTGGTTTGGGAGGTTTACAAGGACACAAATGGTATTACAATATGAAAGAGGTTTATAAGGACACTGCCTGTGTCTCTATAATTCCAAAGGCTTAAAAAACATAAATGGAGTTTTTTTGAAAATCTAAAAATGCACAGTTTTCTGTAGGGGGTAGGTTTAGGTGTAGGGCGATAGCGAATACCGTTTGTACAGCATAAAAACCATTACACCTATGGAGAGTCCCCGTAAACCAACTGTGTGTGTGTGTGTGTGTGTGTGTGTGTGTGTTTTAAAGACTATTATGATGAATAGTGAGAGCAAAAATCTAGACTTTATTTTAAATTGGTTTTATTAAGAGTTATATGGAATATAAGCTAAAGATGACAGGCTCAGTGTGATCATAACTTGCAATCTATAAATGCCAATATATGTAACAGAGTGATCGTGTTGCTTAAAGCGAAAGATCTGGGCTGGAAACTATCTAAAAGACTGCTGGCTCAGTCGTGGAGATCCAGTTCCAACTATAATCAAACATTCAAAATTACAGACAGGTGTTCGAGCGGTTATGGAAATAAACTCTGCAGAGAGCGATCTCCAGCAAAAGCACCTTTGCCGCAAAAGGACTGTTCCTATAATTTGGTACTATTGGTTGGCGATGTCACGAAAACAAATTCCACTGTCCTGTCTTCACAGGCAATATAAATATGCAAATAAATATGCAAATTCTATCATGCTGAACTTTTTCCTTGTGATATTTTAGTACTTTCTCAGAAAAAGTTTTTTTAAAAAGAGGAGCATAAACCTAATGAAATACTGGATAGGGCTGCACTCTAAAAAAGAAAAAGTTGGTTCTTTAGGTTCTTTATCTATTAAGAACCATAGCATGCTGTAGAATCCTTTTATGATGAAATGGTTCTTTTTGTTAGAGTTCAGGGTTCTTTATTTCCACCTTTTTGTTTTACAAATCTGTAACTGTCAAAGCACCTCATTACTGATTTAATCCAACTCCTCAGACTGCCAACACACTTTCAACAGGTAAATGATTTCATTTTAAAATTTAAATACAAATTTGAATTTAAAATTGAAACTGGTTTCCAAGCAAACATGTTCTTTACTCTTTTTAGTTTTTTGCAAGTATGAGCAGCTCTGTTAAGCTGATGATACGTTTCTCATCTTCTCCACTTAAGTAACAGAGACATTGAATTTATGATCCATAATGTAAGATTGTTTTTTTATTATTACTTGGGTTTATGCATAAACATACCCAGTCACAAAAAACATATATTAAAAATACTTTGAATATTTTGTTACATTACACACTAAATCAATCAAATAAAATTCATAATTTTTTCATTTCATTTTTTCCTAATTACATAAAAACGGTGATCACTGGGATCAAAATGCCAGTTTTATTAAAGGAAGAATGTGGAGTTTCATTGTAACATTTTTAAAAATATCTTCTTTTATGTTCCACAAAAGAAAGAAAGGCATACAAGTTTAGGTGAGTAAATGATTACATCAACTTAATTTTGGGGTCAACTTTCAGAATGATTAAGAGCATTCAAGCCAGAGACTTTACTAAAGACTCTACTGTATATTAAACTGGCTGTGGGTCAAATCAGCACATAATACATTTCTAATAAATTCCAGTGTTGGGTTAGACTCCCTCAGATAGAACAACATCGCCCCCTAGTGTCACGAACGTGCATAAACCCCAAATCTTCTGAAGTCCAAGGACTGTAGCACAAATTTAGCAAAGAAACTACGGGCCAACTTCACAATTACACACGAGTATTAAGGGAGCCAATGAAGATTATATAAATTAGCGTGCAAAATCAGGATGACAGGTACCTCAACGTGGGTCTGATAACTTATGGATCTAATAAGATGCTTGGTTAAATGGCTCATTCAGACATGCTGAACAAGAAAACGATTATAGCTAAACTTCCACTGGGGGCTCTTGCTGAATTCATTTACGAGCTTTACGAAGCTTTATGAACGTCCTTCATC